GGGCAATCGGATGGTCGCCCAGATATGGAGCCACTAATCAAAAAAAAAATTGGGAACTTGCAAAAATTTCGAGAGAAAAAAAAAAATCGAATTGGCAAGTTCGGTAGGCCCCCCAGATATCCCCTCAGCAGTTAGGGCCACAAATTTCGAATTTCAGACTGTCGAATGCATCAAAATGTCAAATGGAGATACAGGACTGCGAAAACAGAAAAAAATATCGGTTCCCGCAAGTCCAGAAAATTCCGGGAACAACAAAAAAAATATTCGGAATATCGTAGGTGAGAGTATGCGCCGTTTGGAAACGAACGCTTGCAGGGGAATTCCCGAAAATAAAAACGAATTTCAGAAAAAAATTCGGAATTTTCGAAATTGAAAAACGAATTTCCAGAAAATTTTCGAAATTGAAAGACGAATTTCAGAAATAATTTCGAATTTCAGAAAGTGAAAAACGAATTTCAGAAATAATTTCGGAAATGGAAAACGAATTTCAGAAAGTGAAAAACGAATTTCAGAAATAATTTCGGAAATGAAAAACGAATTTCAGAAAGTGAAAAACGAATTTCAGAAATAATTTCGGAAATGAAAAACGAATTTCAGAAACAAGAAAAAAAAATCGAATTAAAAAAATTTCGCGGGATTTCTCGAAATAACGGAAAGTGCAATATTCCGGTTCTTCAGCATCGAAGTTTCGAGTTCAGAAACGAAACTTTCAGATGTCCTGCTATTGCGATTTACCTCAAGAGAAAGAAAAAAAAAAATAGCGGGAAAACGAAATCCACAGAGAATAGAAAATTTCGATTTGGCAGTTAGGTCAGAATCTGCGATTTTGGGAGCTAGTTAGTATAACCTAATCAATCAATCAATCAATCAATACATACATACATACATACTCAATCGATCAATCAATCAACCCGGGATCAACCAATCGATCCAGGATCAACTAATCAATCGATGGATACTCACCCAATCAATCTTGGGTGGTCCCCGTGTACGCCTCAGATCAGGTTTCGTCCTGATTCACATACAGCAGCTCTGATACCAAAACTGACGCATGCTCAGGGAAGCAATGCGCAGTAGACGAAGGATCCGCAATGTGATGAAAAGGACTGAAATGGACAATGCAAGATCAGCGCAACATCAACAAGCAATGTGCGTTCCAATACATACAAGATGGCGCAAAGTGGCACAGCGGAAGGTTTGAAGCGAAGATCTGATCTGATCTGGACTGACCCGACATCCATCACACATCACACGTGAGAGAGCGGGAGGAGGGACCGCACACATGGAAGAAAGGTCCCTCCTGCGCACACATACATAGGGAGATACCACGGATGAGAGATGGGGGAGGGACGAGACGAGGAGGAAGGAGGCGAGGGAGTAGACCAAGATCACAATAGCGAAGCCCAAAAAAATTGTCCCTTGCCGAGTGTCGAATCAATGTCTGTCCCAGAATTGTCGAATCAGATCCTGGGCAATGCGCCCAGCATAACCTCTGCCTGAATCCATACCGATAACCTCTCACACTCTCAGATTCGAAGAAGAAGAGATAAGGAGGAGGAAGGAGGGAGAAGAGAGAGAGAGAGAGAGAGAGAGAGAGAGAGAGAGAGAGAGAGAGAGAGAGAGAGAGAGAGAGAGAGATGGCGGAGGGAGAGAGAAGGGATCCCTCCTCGCTATCTCACCTGCAGGTAGCTGTCACTGAACTGACTTCGTCCGTTGCTGTGTGCAGGTACCGCGTGGAGCCCAGCTATGGCGCCAGGTAAGCTCGCCGTCTGCAGGTATGGCCTCCACCACTCCCTATCTCCTCTAACCTCTACTCCCTACTCAGCTACTCAGCGCAGCATGGTGCAGCCTCCAACCAGCAGCATGTCGCTCAGAAGTGGGCGACTCCAACTGTCCTTGGCCCAGCCGTTGCCCAGCTATTTGTAGCGCTGGGCCGCTGGGCCTACCTGGTGCTGTGTGGCCTAAAACGGCCCAGGTGGTCTGGGTCCCTACCGGACGTCCAGACCTTGCTGCTGCTGCAGCATGGCGCAGAAATACGCCTGGCCTAAAAAACGGCCTTCTACCGGTGCACCTGGCCCAAGGTGCTGTCTTGGGTCCTGCAGGACCGAAACGACGCCGGTACCTGTTGGTTTGGCGCCAAAATGCGCCTGGCCTCGTTTCGGGCCTGCCTCCAGTGTACCCAGTCCCTAGGTCCGGCCTTGGGGCTGCAAGTCCGGAACGGCACCTGAACAGACAAAAATACGACAGCACACACACACACCAAAAAAAAAAGGTAAGTAAAACTACAGCCTATCTACCTAGTGTGCTGCCTAGGGCCTGGAGGGCCGTCGGGGGCCTCCAGGGCGCGTGCTGGAAGGTACGCGGCCTGGGGGCCCCTCAGCAACCGTCGGGCCCCTCAAATGGGGCCCGTGTGCAGGCGCAGCATGCAACAGAAGACCAGAGACCATTGAGAGAGTGTGTGAGTATTCAAAGCAGAAACCAAAGCGACTTTCACACCAAATAGAGAGCGTGTGTGAGTATTACTTGTATTTTCTTGACATGCCGGTGGAAAAGGAACCGGACTGCTGCTCCCCAGAATAGAAGGAGCCTTGCTTTGTTGTTTCAAAAAAAGAAAAAAAGAAAAAAAAGAAAAAGAAAAGGAAAAAAAAATTAAAAAAAAGAAAAAGAAAAAAATATAATAAAGCATTCTCTCACTACCACCAACAATGTATCCAGAGCTCTTCCTCTTAATTGGCGCTCGGGCGGCCAGACTACTTAGTGCTAACATACAGCTCCCGCTCTAGCTTACTGTAATGACGAAACAATCAGTTGACGTCAGGAGCAGCAACCAAAGTGCATGCAGATGTCGACCATGCAGACCTCCGCCAGTGCTCTCACATCTCCCCTCATTTGCTCT